TCCCTTACCTTGTCAATGGCCGGGAACCAGGATGGTGGGCGTTGGCGGGCGACGGCGGGGTCACACGCGATGACGGGCGTTGGCAGGGTTGGTCGAAGTTGCCATGCGTGACTGGCTTCCGGCGGAGGGAAACGACTTGTGGGGCAGGGAACGGGGGGACTCCGGGGGTACAGCGTTAGTGTGGGGGAGGGAACAGGGGCTGGTAGTTCCCGGACTCACCGATTTCAAACCGTGGCCATCTGGGCCGTCGATATTTGAGATCGACGATCCAGATTGGGCCCGATTTCAAATCGGTGAAATCGGGCCTACCGGACCCACCTTTTTTTTCCGTTGGTCTGGACAGCCTTGCATGGGGGCAAAAAGGCACCCAGCGCCAAAAACAAACGAACCCCCCACACCTTCTCAAATGCATTGGGGTTGCCCGGTGGCCAACCGGGCGAGACAACCGGCCAGGCCGCCCGGGGCCAACCCCGGGTTGACGACCAGGTCATCGGGCGGCCCGGGGACCAGCCTAGACATGTAGGAATTTTGAAGTGACCCTCAGCCAAAAGTTGTTTGGTTTGCAATCCTTTTAATAAACTCAGCTATGTTCTTCTCTTAAATTGATATTTTCACTACCTACCTACCACTACTCCTAAGCCTATACAGGGGGGCACTGGAGCATAGCTACCTCTCACAGACGTATGTTGCAACTTGCAAGCCACCCTAATCAGTGGTGCTTGGGGAGTAGCATGGGGCTGCTGGTGGTGGGGGCCGGGACCGGCTAATGCAAAGACCGATCATTTTTCCAGTAGCTGCCTCCCAACTACTTCCCCCAACCCCATCAAGTAACAGCATTGTCTAAGGCCCACACCCCCCCCCCCCTTGGCCAAAGACCCTACACAATACTGACCAGAGGGAGCAAACCAACTATCTCATATGGTTGGCACTAAGTGTGACCCGGGAAATCAGTCGGGATTGAACCCACAACCTCCTGAATGCCGCTAGCGTGCCTAACCAACTACCTAGGCCACTTGCTTGATTTGCAATTCTGCAGAGCACATTGTTTCTGCAGATTTTCTTGTCATTTTGTGCTGGGGCTGCCTGGGACCTTGACCAACAACCTTGCCCAGACCTGGGCCAGCTGGGCCACCCAGGCAGCCAGAGGCAGCCTGGGCGTGTTCGACAAGCAGGCAGCCAAGCTGTTTTTACTCGTGTGATTACACATATTCCGGATAAATCAAATCAGCACTACAAAGGTTTGCAGGATCATGTGGCCTTGAATCCATCCATGATACTTGAATCCACAATCTCAGCCGTAACATCCGGACATAACCCCGGTACTGCAGCTGTGATGCAGTGCTTACTTCTAAGTTACTGGTGAAGCCATACGGGTCCTGACATCAATGCGATCCTTGCACAATTGCAGCATCACTTGAGTGGGCGCATGTCCGCACTTGCTTCCCTGAGCACATGATCCTCCTATGGGGTGCAGCCCCACAACCACTGGATCCAAATAAAATCCCTAGGACGTTCACCGCACTAGACCACTGATCAGTACCAGCTGTGTGGGTCAGCCTGTGTCATCTTGGCCACTACTGCCGGATGTCTTTGGCACTGGAACCAGGCCCCGGGTCCAACACTGGGACCAGACCCATAGCGTCACAGATTTCATGGCACCTACTTGTCCTCTGGAAATGGCCGTGATGACTTGAAAATACCTGGTACGGTACAGTGGAGTCCGGTTTTCCAAGAAGTCTCAGTCCCAGCACCAGGCTCAGCCTCGTGTATAGAGATCAAGACCGGAGGATGATTCTTCTTTTTTTGTACTTTTTTGTTGTTTTTTTCCGTGATTGTTTGCCAATTTCTTTGACTACGATATTCAAAATTTTTGGATTCATTTTTAAGATTGAGAACATTCTCAATTGACCATGAAAAACTTTTCGGCTTTTTCGAAGACTCTTAGGAAGAAAAGCTATATGACCTGCAATTGCTACAGCGTAGCCTCCATTTACTGAATTAAAAAAACAACCTTTTACGCGATTATTGTCACTTCGCCATATTTGTGTTAATTCAGTCCAAACTAGTTTATTTTTGCATATCCTTTTTATTTGTTTAGGCAAAATCATTTTGGGTTCACCAAACACTTCTACATTTTCTACCCATGAAAGTAAAATATGGTGGCACCGATCGCAGTGTGATCGCTCACTGGAGTCATGCCGAGACATCCGCGGAACAAGCATTCTCAGCAGCTCCGGTTCAACGCAGACAGACAAGGATCCTATGTGCGAACAGACATACCATTTCTTGAAATTGCCCCAAGATTTAGGATACTGATGATTGGTTAATGGTGGTGCTGCATTGATTGATATCACATGACGTTTTCTACATACACCTAAAGAATAGTAAAGATTCTAAACAGAGGATTGATGCTCAGTCAGGAAGAGGCCACGGACACTTTCCAGGAGTGGCGGCCACAGAAAAACACAAACTCATTGTGTGCGAGGATGTGCTTGGATGACAAATGCTGCCCAGCCGGCGACTGGAAAAAAACTGCACAAGACTTAATAAGAAGATCTACGTATCTGCAAGGTGCCACATTACAGAGAAACGAAAAATTGCTTCGGCCTCTCACTCACTTTGAGCACACGCACCACGGCATAGCAGGAGGCTGCACCAGATAACAGGCATCATACCCTCGGTTATTGTGCAACGGATGAACATTCTTAGTCCTGATGAGCAAGGGCCAACATTTTTGGACAGATTTTTTTTTTTTTTTTTTCCCCCCCCCCAACATCCCTCACGGGTGATAGTGATGCTGGCAGGAGCAGGCACCACAATCACCCCAGGGGAGGCTCCATCTATTGGTGGGGAGCTTCACCTGCTGGAAACCGGGTCCAGCGCAAAAGCTACCAGAATGTATACCCGGGGGGATACGGATGCAAAGGCACGCCATGCAGATGCCCGAGTAAGGACTAGAGGCTGGAAGTGGCATGCAGGGCACTTGTCACAGGATATGCTCCAATCTCTCACCCATCCCATTTAAAGACAGGGTGTTTGCGTAAGAAGAGGGGCTCGAGATATTGTTGGTCGTCGACTCGTCATAGGATATAATACTAAAACTTAAGAAACAGAAAAATCCTTGCTGACCTCAGAACTGAAACGGGCTAAGAGAAGAAGGCGGCCTGAATAAGAAAAAGGAATAGAATTCTAAAGAGAGGGGGTAAGCCTCCAACTACAACTCTGAAAAGTACAGGGTCTTTCACCGAATAAGTGCTCAAAAAGGAATTCAAAGAAAAGGCTGCAATGAGACCTCCATGTATGGAACACTCGAACACAAGTCTCGCATCACATCACCCACATGAGATATGCAGGAGGCACGAAGTCCAAAAATAGTCTATGCAGCCAACACCAAACTTAGCTGTCTTCTTTTCACCTCCAGCTATGGCCGCAAAACTCCACATGCAGGTAAGCCTCTCTCTCTCTCTCTTTCTCTTTCTCTCTCTCTCTCTCTCTCTCTCTCTCTCTCTCTCTCTCTCTCTCTCACTGCTCTTACTCTCACAGTCCTCACTCCACTCTCAGAATGTCTTCCTCTCTCTCTCTCTCTCTCTCTCTCTCTCTCTCTCTCTCTCTCTCTCTCTCTCTCTCTCTCTCTCTCTCTCTCATGCTACAGCTATGGCTATGACGCCCAGGATCGTTGACTACACTGCCCTAGGCTCACTCTCACTCGCTCAGTCTCCTCTCCAACGGACAAGACCGCAGCAACGCTTCCGCATTGAGTGCGAAGCACGTGTGGACTTTTGTACTTGCTGATCCGCCTTCAGGCTTCTGCTGCTCGTTATGGGCTGGTTCCCTTGCCTTTGTTTGCTGCTTCCGAAAACTTACGGATTCTTCTCGGATCTGGCAGCTTGGTTGGACTAACTAACATTTGGGCTAACAACTTTTGTTACCCTGGCTGAAGCTCATGGTGCCTTCCTGAAAATCGACTCTTCATTGTCTTCCAAGTTCCAACCCATAACCGTTATCTACCAGGGACTTCCTACCATGATAACCTGCATAGGGATCTGTAATCATGGTACAAACGAAAACTGTTCTTCTGGAGCAGGACCACTAATGGAACACCAAATGGGACTCAGGACTGGGACTTGGGTCTCAGACTCGAGATCGGGACCTGGGACTGGGACTCGCTCGAGTTTGGCACTATAGGTTGAACCGGTGGTACAAAGATTCGTGAATCCTTTCAAAAAGGAAACTTGACGTTGCTTTTCTTTTTTGTTTCATTGTTGCGCAGGGGCCATGCTAATCTTCTCTCTGTCGTTCCAAGTTCAGCGGTATTTAAATTTTAAAAACAAAAACGAGAGCTTCTTTCCAGAGTTGAATTCTTCTTACCTTGATGCATGCTATCTTTCGAGGGTACAGGATTTGAAATGGAATGCAGAGAAATTCAAAAGGCTAACAAAAGGAGAGAAGAGGCAGGGAGCCATACCGTTTTCGCCAAGGTGCATGCCCTCTCAGGAGAGTTGAGAATTTCATAATAGAACACAGAGAAGTTTAGAGCAAGCCCTAAACGTATAGGATGGGTTGGTGCCAGATCAACAACAGCAATATCCTGCACAATTCAGAAGGCCAATCCAATGGCATCATCACATCAGCATCACATATCAATTGACCTGATAGATAACAGGTGAACGACACAAAAAAGCTGGAAAAGTTGGGAAAGCCTCATTTCGACTATAAATATATAAACCCAGGGAACAGCCTGGGCATTTCTTTTTCAGCCCAAGCAAGAACGGGAATGGACCGTTCATTCCGCGGTAGGACTACATATCTCCTTGTTTTAGCACAGTTATGAACCCCCAACCCCCCAGCTGCAATACACAAAACACCGAAACACCTCAGAATAAGAACCCCCTTACCCTTCCCCCCC